TAATTTACTGATTTCATATTCAAATAGCCCCGATTAGTCCAATAATAAACCTATGAAAGAAAAATTTTAAGTGTAATCTCGAGACTCGAGACTACACGAGACTCTCGCCGAGTCTGGTCTCGTCTCGTCGAGACTTCACGAGGAGACCAATAGCAGTCTCGTCTCGAAAAGTCGAGATGAGACCAGTCTCGAGTCTCTCGGCATCACTAATTTCTTAAATAAATCTTTAGAACCTATTGTGATACGAGCATTACAAGATTCGTTTAATTCGAATTCATTTACCTTGTATATACATCTCGAACTCTTTATTAGAAGACATCACAGAAGTTGATCTTCAACAAGAGAAAATTCAGCAATATCATGAGACTAAAACCTCTCATAGAGGAATCACTGAAAATGTTGCAGCCTTAAAGAAAAGATTCTACTGGGCCAATATCGAGAACAGTGGTGCCAGATTGTTTCAGTAGGAATTCGTGAGATTGGCCGCCAAAAATCGTGAGAAATCGTGAGACAACTGAAAAGCGTTAATTTGAAAGGAATTCGCCTTGTAAAACGTTTGTGGCGGCATCTTGTGGTATTATATTTTCACTTCTGACGCGCAATTTGTTTATAAAAAAAATTATGTTTCAGTTCTTTACCTAGCAAATGCAGAAAGTGGTATTTTTTCGCACGAGACGGCAGTTGCAGGAACGACGGTGCGGAAAAGTACAACTTTCAAAACGAAATCTCTTGCAGAAAAATAACTTTTCTGCACGCTCGTAGGAAAAAAGTTTTTTACAAATTGCACGTGATAAATTCGAAAATAACAACAGTCTCTTCTAATTAAAATTTAAACATAAATAAATAATAAAAAACGCGATATCGAATAAATACGAATTCCTGGTGATTCCCCGAGGCTGCTAAAAAATACCGACCACTTGCCTCGCGCTACAATAGTGCCATCTCCCGTTGCAGCGCTGATCTAATAAAATTTCAGTGTTGCCTGAGGTTGCAGTGTTGTGTACCAACGTGGTACCAAAGAATTACTGATTTTTATTCTAAATTACACATATTTATTCTCATATTTCTGTCAACAGAACTCTTTACTGGAATTATTTTGCAGTTAAAAACTCTTATGTTTTACCAAAACCCGCCAAAACTTTAAAATATCGTGAAATTCTTGGGAAATATTGTGAGATTCGATACAAAATCATGAGATCTCACGATAAATCGTGAGATCTGGCACCCCTGATCGAGAAAGGCGTACAGAACTATGTCAAAGTATGCGAAATATGCAATAAAACCAAGTATGAACGACAACCATACAAAATCATATTTAAACGAACACCCATTGGTATGAAACCCGTCGAACATATTTATATTGACACGTATATAATCAATAACCAGAAATTTCTGATCATTATTGATAGCTTTTCAAAATTTGGTCAAGCTGCTCCTGGAGATACGAAAACAGCTGTAGAGATATCATCTCAGTTATTGAAATATTTTAGTGATCATGGAATACCTCAAAAAATCACATCAGATAATGGAGCAGAGTTCAAAAAGGCTATAATGACAGATCTTTGTACATTAAACAAAATTGAGTTCCATTATACAACTCCAAGAAATCCGAACTCGAATAGTCCAATCGAAAGATTTCATTCGACATTACGTGAAAGTTTAACGAGTTTAACTCCAAACCCCGAATAAGAGTATTATTGATCTAATGACAATCGCTATATTGAATTATAATAACAGTACTCATAGTACAATGAATCACACCCCTTTTCAAGTGATTAAAGGAGATTTGAATTATGTCATACCAATTGAACAAACAGAAAATAAACTAACAACTGACTATATAACAAGTTTGGCAGAATCCTTTGCAAATTTCAATAAAGAAATTCAAGGAAAGTTATTAGCGAAACAAACAAGTATTAAAAATGACGCAATAAAAATCGTGAATCCGAACCAGAATTACAAGATCCAATCTTCGTATAACAATTTAATAAAGACAAGTCCGCGTTATGATAGCAAAACACAGAATCGCTTTGCTAAACAAAATGTTAAACGACAATAGTTTATTTCAGGTACTCCGAGATGAATCCTTTAGTATACCTTACTCTCGTTGGAGTCACCCAAGCGTATACATTGATTACGGTAGAAAATCCTATCTTACCAATTTCTTTAGGAACTACGAACGTAACAACTCAACATAACACGGCCTATTATCACATAAACACGACAATTATCCTACAAAGTATCCATAAACTGGAAATAACTTTAATGAAATTATCTGAGACGCTAAATAAAACGACATCGTCAAACCAATTTGTTGCACTGTTTCAAACAAAAATGGCTCTACGAACCCTAGATGCTGACGACGGCGCAAGATATGATTCTTATATCCAGACGCTCAATGATAATCAAAAGACTCTCAATGAAGACCTAAAAGAACAAGCTCAAGTATTGAAACATTGAAAACATTTCATGATCAATTTCTAACTATTGAATCTAACCAAAAGGTTATCACAGGAAAATTACAAAATATTTCCTTGGAAAACCAAAATTTCCACTCAATGTCAACCTTTAATCTAATATTGAACAATATTAATATCCAAACAAAAATAAAATAAGGAATCTAATTGATCATGTACAATTAGCAATAGATTTGGCACAATTGAGAATAATGCATTATACTATTTTACAACATAATGAATTAAATCAAATATTAACAAATATACCCAAAAGTCAGCAAATACCTTTTGATAATCAAATCAAGTATTACGAGACAATGAAAACTAAAGTAAAAATCCAAAATGAGGTAATTATATTTGTTATACCCACACCAATGATTGATCCCAAGCCCTTTATATTGTATAAAATCTATCCAATTCCTATCCAAGAACTTACCATCAGGAATAAGTACCCTTATCTATTACTTACTACGGACATTTACTACAATACTATATGGGAATGCCCGAAAGTCGAAAATGTGTACCTTTGTAACCAAGAAGAGCTGAAGCAAGAAGAATCATGTGTGTATGACCTGATTACTGACCTACCACAACAATGTCCTTTCACTAAAGTGAAATAAGCGAAAAGCGAAACCAACAGTGAGACAACTCTCGAATGGACAACTATTAGTCAACCATATGGAAATTATAACCGATCCATCGCTAGTTTTTTTTTTAATATTTTGTGAAAATACAAAATTAAACATTTCCAAAAACCAGCGAGAACCTCAATTTTGAACTGAAGATTCCAAAAATAGACATCCCTGAACTTCCAGAGAACGAAACAACATTGGAACTTCAAGAAATCAACCAAGAAGACTTAGAAGAAGCCTTCAAGACGACGGAACAGATACGAGTTCACAATCCTAAAGAATTGTCTTTTGAAAACTCTTATTTGAACACATATCGTCGTTAATTTCACTAATGGGCGTATATTGAATTTCTTAAATTTTACAAGCGTATATGATATACGACTTTTAGGAAGATGCATATTTCTTGTTTCAAAACATACGTTTTAAATAAAAATGTGTTTAACTCAGAAACTACTGGCAGTTCATATGCGCCAATTAGAGGGCGTATACATTTGATGTTTTGCGACATCATAAATTCCCTGAAATCGAAAAATTGCCTATTTCTCGTATATGTCCCTTTGTCAAATTAACGACGATATGTAATCATAGGTTTAAGTCTTGCTATTTTATTTATAATTTTATTGTTTTACTGTTTTGGGAAGTTTAAAACTTCAGAAAAAGGTTGTGAAAATGTGCAAATTAAATTGTCCTATTTGAATTCACAACAATCCACCAATTGCCACGCTAATTTATATTCAAATATCCATTTTTTATATGCTTTAATGTGCTTACCCCTTTCCTTTATGACTTTTTAAATACATTGTGGTAAAGCAAATTTGATCCACATATTTTCTTTTGTCACCTCTGTATTTTGATCAATAAAATAAATGTTTTTTAAAATACAAGTTTCTGAATCGAAAATACATATAATTAGCGCATCAAACATTTAATTTTGTGTTCTGTAAACATTTATGCTTTATTCGATTCCGGCATCTACATTTTGTCCCGAAGCGCCCGTTTCTTTGCCTCATTTCTTTAAAGATCGCTTGTTTGATCGTCGAGGACCTGGTCCTCCTCACCCTAATAGTGTTAACTATTTTGCTTTTATCTTTAGGCATTTAGTAATTTTTAAATGGCTTCCATCTGTTTTTTTAACCTTTGATTTTTATTTTCTTCATTTCTTTTCTTTCGTTTGCAGTTTACATGTTGTGGGTTTTTACTGCTTCTTTAAGGTATTCACTAAGGTATTGCTCTCTTCAGCTTCTTAGCATTTCAATACATGCACCATGCACCCAATTCTAGCTTAGAAGTTAGATTTTGTTCAGGGCCATTTTGGGAATCTTCGCTCAGAAACGACACTCTTGATAACATAAATGAAGCCGCAACTTCAAGCAAGTTTTGCATCAGGTCTTATGTTGAGTCTAGTACTATACAATATGATGAGTTGGCCTGCAAGTATTTGTCTTAGCTGTGTTTTCCCTATCACAAGGATATCTGTAGTGCTATCTTGTGGATTCTTCAAAAACAGTCTGTTTTGCACTTTAAACACGAACAGTTTGGTTGGTGTATTATTGTTTCAAAGAAGTCGTTTAAATAGATTCTACCATTTATTCTAGACCGCAAACTCACACAGTTGCGCTCTATCCAGCCCTAGATACCAACACACTGATTTGGTTCATTTTCCTTCTCTTTAACGACATAGGTGATAATATAAGGTTTGTTCCAACACGTCAACAACCGTCCCAGGAATGGTTTCGAAACCACTCTGTATACGAATTTCGGGAATTACGCACAAATTTTTGGCTTTGCGCAGAATCGGTTTCTTGACGTGTTGGAACAAAGCTATAGTGACACTATGTTACTCTATGAGCTCAACCTCAACCTTTTCTTGTTTGAATAATTCGGCGCAACAAATTGTATTTCTTGTTACTAGAAAAACCGATAACAAAGACGATTCTTGCTTGGTCGCGCAAGAAAAATTGCATCCAGCGTGCGCGCAACGCATCGAAGATTCACCGCAACCCACATGCTTGCATCTAGCGGAAGATTGTAAGGAAAATAAGGCGTGCAGATCGAAACTGGAGTATTATGAGCAATCCTGTGCCGTCGACAGTGTAACAAAAAAATGCGCCGGTTCTCCGTCGGAATGCAGAAAATCTATTTTGGCCATTTTGGGCACCGATTTAAGAACCACGTGCGCTTGCAAGGGTACTGACATGAGTCAATTGTACGAGTGTCTTGGTTGGCAGCGACTCCTTTGGGTTAATCCATGTGTCGGTAAGGACTTTTTTGATAAAATAAACTATGTGTAGTTGTTATAAACCCGAACAGCCTTACAGGTTAGGGTTTAGACAAATTGCACGAATTTTCGAGTGCTCAATTAACAAACTGAATATGTTATAGTTGAGGCGCAGAAACACTATCACATGAAGAAAGCGGCCGAACAAAGCAGACTCTCCTCAACACACACTCCAACGCGAACCACCCCTACCTCTACCACTACCAGTACCACTACAACCACCACCCCACGAACCTCTCCGGCCACCGTCCGTCTGATCACAGTTAAATCAGTTACAGAAGCATCGGTTAAGGTATATACAGAGTTTCTGCCCCCACCGCAAGCTTTCGTGCCCACTTCAACTCTACCACCCACCACAACAGCTAGTACTACGACTAGTACTACCACTAAAAGAACTACTACGACTGTAAGGACTCGACCAACTAGGACTACTACAACTTTGCCACCAAGTAAGTAGAAATTCGATAATAAAACTCTCACTAGTAGTTGAGTTTATCGACAAAAATGTCAACCGACAGTCTTGAAATAATTATGATACTGTCGGCATAAATTTCATAATTAGGTACTGTGAATATCTAATTCAGGTTTTCGTTCCAAGATTCTTTATACAATCTTTATACATATCAAAACATGTTCGACAGGTTTAAGGGGATTCTACTATCATTTGGTTCACTTTACTATCTTGTTCATCTTCCAAACATTTACTTTCTCGGAATTTGCAAATACAACTTTCATTCCAGCTTTCTCCAATTTTCGAACGGAAAGTAAATTATGTGAAAATTCTTTGCTCGCCCTAATATTTTTTGTTATCATTTTCTTTTTGATAGGTACTTATTATATTTTTGTAGACATACAAATGGCTTTCTCAATGCACAGTCCTCTTTGTCAATTTCTTTCTCTGCTGTATTAGGTAATTTTTCGCGAGGATAATCAAGCATAATCGATTATGCTGGAATATGTGATGTGTCAACTGTGTCATACTCCCCTAACTCCCCCACCATCAAATTCTGGGATACTCGAGGATCAAGAATACTTAATTTCTTCTGTGACAACAGACCAAAAATCACCTTTTCTACATTTAAAATCAACGAAAAAATTAACTCACTGGCACAGCCTGAATCGCAAGCATTCCATCGAGGTCTGCGGGTGACGTCATCACTATAAGATGCTGATAGTGACGTCACTCGCAGGCCCAGAATTGGATGGAGAGGGAGTTAGGAGAGTATGGCACAATTGACACATCACAAAACCCAGCATAATCAGATTATGCTTGATTATTCTCGCGAAAAATTGCCTATTGTGTCACCATTCTGAGAGCAAAATATGATTATATTATGTTTCCTAGGCGGAAAAGCTATTCTGTTGTCGAGACGCCGAGATATTTGGTGAATTATTGGCACATAAAGTATTTTTAATCCAACTTGAAACACTAGAAAAACATTGGGATGACACTGGTTATAGAAATCGTGTAGTCTAGTCAGCCAGGCACCTGCATCCTTCCCGGAAAGATGTAAGTAGCCCACCCCAACAATTCAACCTATAGGCGCGTGCCGACCTAAATTATTATTTTGGGATACTGTAGCGATATTTCCTCGCTGCTGACAATAGATTTTCTATGAAATTATTAGAAGAGAGCGACGTACCTAATGTTGAAATATCCTTGTATAATGCAGTGTTTCAAGTCAGAATAAAAATACTATACCATGTCATAAAAGGGGGGCTATTTATACAGGGGTGGTAAAAAGTACCGGAACGGTTGAATCTCTTTCAAACCCGATTAAAAAACCTGCATCCTCAAATTTCGTTATCTGGAGGTTTCTGGACATACAAAATTGAATTATACAATGATATCGGCGCTGCTGCCAGATCTATCAGCTTTGCCCTACATCATTGTCCAAATTTGTTTGCCCAGAAACCTCCAGATAACCAAATTTGGGAAAGCAGCATAAGTGGGTTTGAAGAGATTCAACCGTTCCGGTACTTTTTACCACCCCGGTATAAGTAGCCCCCTTATGACATGGTACGTGCTAATAATTCACGAAATATCTCGGCGTCTCGAGAACAGAATAGCTTTTCCACCTAGGAAACATAATATAATCATATTTTGCTCTCAGAATGGTTATACAATAAAGCCGAGAAAATTTGTTGCCGTATCAATTAATAAAGGAAACTGTTCCCTATAAATCGCAGTACATGTTACGTGTTACGACGCGTACTATCTCTAGTTACTCTGAGGCGCAATTATAATTACGGACCACCCAATAATAAGATGGAAACGTTGAACAAACAATAATGAAGAAAATTGTTTCGAGTACCTAACTAAGACAAAGAATCAGGGTGATGAAAGTCGTTTTTCAGTTAAACTGAAATTTCTGCAAAACTACGAGATTTATTCAAAAACCCTTCAAGTTGTTTTTCACCATTGAACTACTGATTCTTCTTAAACCCAGAAAAAAAGCAGGAGTATATATTTGAAAAGAAATGGCGACGCCCTTAAATTTGTTAAACTTTGCACTGTTTTATTGTCCACCCTGTATGTTGTAGATAACGTTTCTGTTCATCAGCACGATACCATATACCTTGGGCACAAACAATGCGCCCCAAAATGCTTCAAACCGCAATCAAATATCTCTTATACTTTCTGAGATATTTGACTTCAAAAATAGGAAAAAAGATTCTTTATGCAAATCGAAGTTCCAGCAATTTATCTTAATTATTAATGCCTTCTCTAATACCTACATCTAGTTCTGAATAGCAAACCTATTGCTGCAGCACATAAATTTGAAATTATTATCATCCACTTGAATCTCTTTAATAGTCTATAGATCCTACAGGAACTCCTAAGGAAATTATTATTATTATTATTATTATTATTATTATTATTATTATTATTATTATTATTATTATTATTATTATTATTATTATTAATGATGAACAAAAGCATGATCTACTACGAACTTTAATAGACAGGCATAATTTACTACTAGACGATAAAGACGGTCGAAAATCCACAGTCAAATTGGAAAAAAAAAATGGTTACTCTAAGTCATGCCGTAACCTCTGAATGCAGAATAGTGTTGCCGGATTATTTTTCAGAAATGCTATTTACCCAAACTTAATCTAACTTTTTTTTTCCAGGATCATGCATTGTCCAGAGGCCACAATTTTCTGATCAATTTATAAGGGAGGGAAGCTTTAAGAGGGTAAGTGTAAGTACCTACCTACCATACAGTTTTTTGTTGAATCGTAACTTTTAAGTCAATAGTTAGGTGCTATACTATACTTAAAATTCTAGTTAAAGGTAAATTTATTTATTATACATACTACAACTATAGGGAAATACCTTGTTTCATTGTGGCTTATTCCGGCGAGCAAATAAAGCACACAGTTTAGAATAATCGCTTTATTACTAAACTGCACAATTAACTTATTAACTTAACTATTTTCGGTATATTTGCCAAAAAAAAATAATCCAAGAGCTTAAATGAATTTTCTACAGGCACTTCAAAAGTGGAAACATTTAAAATCCTTAAAACGCGCCAGTCTATAGTTCGCCTTACGAATCTAGCACTACGACGTCTGAAGGGCAAGGGGGAATAACGTCATTCATTTCGAGCTTTATGCTGCCTGTCATAGGCGTGCACGCAGCGTTTTCAAATATCACTTTTTTCTTATAAATGTAGGTGTGTAATGCCCGTATTATATTTGTGTATTTTTCCGTGTATTTATTCATGTAGTTCAGGGTGCCAACATTATTTTGTTTTTTATAATGCTGATTTATGTTGCGTTTGAAGTTTTTCGGTTGTCACCCTGAACTACATGAATAAATATACGGAAAAATACACAGATGTGATAAAAAAATTTATCCGCATTCTTTCCATAGTGCTAGACTCGTAAGGCGAACTTTATGACGTATAAAGTGTAGTTCACAATAGCTTTGTTCCAACCGTCATGAGAACCGTTCTAGAACCAGCAATTTCCAGTTGCACACCTAAAGTCTGTTTTTTTTTTAAAGATAATTCCCCAAGTCAAAAATTTAGTAACTATGTTGGCAGCACAAGCCTTTTCTACATAAAAAAATTGAAAGATTGACAATTTTACATTGCATTGCCAACATAATGTCATTTTGACTTTTATCTTAACAGATTTTATTTTTTAGTAAGTTGAACGCTTATCTTGACAAATGAATTGATCGATTGAGAATTATCGTTCTAGAACGGTCCTCATGTCGGTTGGAACAAAGCTATAGATGCGAATCACGAATTGCGAATTGCGAAGGCCGCTCCTATTGGTCAGTCCACTGTCAAGAAAAGTGACATCTGTCAGGGTTTAATATTTTGCGAATTCGCAAAATTTGAAATTTAAGGGGCGGGAAAATTGGAATTGGTTTAATATTTTGCGATATTTGTTGCGGATTTTATGTCAGCGCATGCGTATCTTTCAAAAATGCTTTTGTCCTCTGCTCCTTATTCGGTTGTTTTGTTTAGGTTTCGGCTTTCGCCATTTAGTTTGTTGTACTTTGCTGTGTGATCTCTTTATTGTTTATTGCAATATTTTCCATGGTAATTTCATTTATTTGTTTCTCAAAGTTTGCTTTTTTAGGTAGGTAAAGTTTGTTTCACGAGGGTATGTACTTTTGACATTATGATGTCATAAAAGGTTTGTCGTAGATTACATATTATACCACGACGTTTTTCCCAGGTGATAATTTCGGAACGCGTGTTCCAGTGTAATTTTGAGGATCTGGGTAACTTTTTGTGCCACTTCCACCATTGTCATCCAATTTCACCACTTTCGCTTCAATTTCGGTCAAGTGACGTCAACTTTCGAATCTTAAATGTAACTCAGGGTATTGCTATGGTTATTTAAACGTATGTCTTAGCAATACTTTTCTTTAATTTGTCAATGAACTTTAATGTCAAAATTTCTTGTCAAAAATCCTGACCAATAAAAAAACAATAATGCGACATACGTTTTCGTAATCAAAGCAATCTTTGATTGTTTTTTTTTTTTGAAGACCCGATGTATTATGGCATTTTTCGTTAGAAAATTAAATTACAAAATTGGCAATGCCATATTTGTTAAGGATTTGTTAAAGAAAGTGATAAAAATTTATACAGTGAAACATACGATGATGGATGCCTTCCGAAGTTATCATTTGGGAAAAACCTCATGGGACATCCTGTACTTTTATTTACGACTGACATATAATGTAAGTATTATATATGTGATTTTGGCAGTATAATTCCATATATTATTCCCGCAGGGATTAATGGTCATTATTCCCGCTTGCACACCAATCACAAAATTTCCAAATAAGTGGTACCATGGGAACAATATACCTGAACAAACTCAAAAGTGTCAGTGTCAAACGCGTAGTGCCTGTGTATTTTGTATTGAGATGGATGAACAAAGATCGTTTTTGGAAAGAAAATTTCAAATAAATTAATTTGTCGTGAATAAAGTAGAGTATACTACTCGCAATAATGGCTATTATTCCCTCGGAATGTTACTCCCTCGCCGCTAACGCGGCTCAGTTCGTAAATATTCCTCGGGAATAATAGCTATCATTATTGACTCGTGGTATAATCTACTATTATTTACCGAGTCTTTTGACACAATCAATTTTTTTGACAAATCTATCCAATGATTTCTGGTTTTAAGAAACGAGGAACGTTTTTGACGTCATTAATTTGTTTCAGTCAATTTTTATTTGTTAAAAAAGGAAGCCAAATGATGTCAAAAGTACAAACTCTTGTGAAACAAATAGTACCTAAATTTCTTTCTTGTGAATTGCAACAAACAATAAGAAACAACAGAAACAATTATTCAAGGCTATAACCACAGAATACACATGTTTTCTAGTATAGTGAAATTAATAAAATAATGGATGCACGTCATTAATGACGTCGAAATTATTGCCAGTTGCAGTTGTAAGAAATTAAAATTCGTTTTAAACTCCCACGCCGATTTCTTTTCAATGAAATCCGGATTTGCTATTCGTCATTTGCATCTATATGAACTACGGGGATACGATCATCTTCTTTCTACCAATCGAATTAAAGAAGATTCCATTGACAAAGCACGTACGGCTGTTCCCGTGGAAGCTGGCTGTAATTAATTCAACTATTTTTCTTGGAATTTTGCCAACATTCTAGAATTAAATATCTTTAAAATTTTCATTGTTGAAAACTAGTGGCAACACTGCCCAAATGCAGCTGTGACGTAGTGTGGATAAATCCGGTGTTTTTATTTAGAGATTTTTCATTTTTATCTATTTTCTCATAAAGGACTATATAATCGATTTTTGTTCCATCTGATTTCCAAAATTTTGGGGGAGCTGAGCATCAAGTTAGCCACCCTAGTAGGATTTTGTCGGAAAATTACCGAATATGGAAATTTTGAGAAAAACCTGATACAGCACAGTTCGACACACTTTAGATTGCATAAGAATCCACTTTTGTTTGATCTGATTTCTATAAAATTTTGGGGGGGCTGAGCGTCAAGTTAGCCCCCATCTTGTTTTTCCTAACTTTGGAATCGGAACGGCACAGATCAAAATATCATCGCAACAGTAAAGCACACTTCTAGCACAGTAAGTGATTGCAAATTTGTTAGAAAATTCAAATGTGGGGGGGCTAACTTCACGGAGCCCACGGATAGAATATTGTGAAAAATTCACTTCCCCCGAAGCAAAAAAGTTCCTCATGGGGGGCGGCAAAATAAGCTCTTGCACGAGGGCGCCCTAATAGCTAGAACCGGCCCTGAGCCCAACATACCCGAGAAAAAGTATCAGCTACGATATTCTCATTTCCTGGACTATGTCATATGAATAGCATGAAAGTTCGAGTCTCAAACGTTGAATTTTTTCATTTTTTATTTTACTACTATGCTTCATGTTGAACATGAATGGGGCCGATCTTTGATCTGCAATCAACTTGAAATGCCTTCCAATAAGAAAGTGACGCAATTTCTTCAGAGCTTCTACAATTGCTAGTGTTTCTTTTTCAACTGCTTAGTGGTTTTGTTCACTATATGTTTTTGAGAAAAACGCAACCGGTCGTCTAGACTGGCTTAGAATTGCTGCTATTGAATGTTCGGAGGCATCTGTTTCCACCACAAATGGAATGTTTTCTTCAATGACAGTGACAGCTGATTTTGCAGCTTCAGTTTTCAAGTTGCGAAAATCGGTGATAACAGGCTCTTGCATAGGAAAGTTTCTGGTAATAACAATTCTATGAATTTTCTTGGAGAATCTAGGTTTCCATTTAGAGTAATGAGCGAACATGCCCCCAGCTCTTTGAAGTGAAGCTTTATCAGTTGGTACTGGCAGATTCTGTAGAGGTTCAAGTCTCTCAGGATCAGGTTTAAGTGTTCTGTTTCCCATAAGATATCCCCGTAGTTTAATTGTCTTTTTGTTCAACGAACTTTTCCTTTTATTTATCCCATTTTGACGTTTAAAAATGACATTATTGAAGGCATAACAATAAAGGTAAGTAGACGTTTATCACCTCAGTGATTTAAAAACATTTTAACTCACTCTCGGCATTTTAGGTCACTCTGCCCAACTAAAAATCTGAAACCTCAGTGATTTAAAATATTTTTAACTCACTCCCGGCATTTTTCTTTGTACTTTATTTTCTAAATTTCCACAAAATGGGATAAAATTTTGTATACATCACGTGAGTTAAAATGTATATTCATTCGAAGAAAATTAACCCACTCGCTAGGGCTCGTGGGTTAAACTTTCTTCTCATGGATAAAAATTCATTTAACTCACTTGGTGTATAAATAACTATTATAGTTAGGTTGTACTTTTTACCAGCTCTCAGAAAAGCTGATAGATTCTTATCGTGTTCTTCTTGATTTTTTTCACAAATTGTTATATCATCGAGATATGCGTAGACGCCTTCTAGATTCTCTCGCCTGATTATTGAATTTCTAAGATTCTTTGAAAACAAGTAACGCAGTTAGTCACACCAAAAGGGATACGATTAAACTGGTACTGCTTTCCATCAGCTTCAAAAGCATTGAACTGTTAAGATGAGTTAACTTGTTGATTGTTTGAGAATAGTCAACAACCATTCTCTTTTTATGATTTTCATCTTTGTCACAAGAATTTGTGCTCGCCAGGAAGACATACGTTCTTCGATGATATCTTCTGAAAGAAGCTATTGTACTTTACTTGAAATAAATTTGGCAT